GGACTCACAGACTTTGAGGCGCGCTCCCACGAAGTCCGTGAGGGTTTAGGGATGTCCCACTGTCACATCATCAAGTGTTTGAGTCTCTAGCAGACATTTTGAGCCCTTTATGAACCCTTTCTGTAAGTCAGCATGGTATGCTGACTTAGCCTAAGGGAATTACCCACAAATCATTGCAATGTGACGTTAAACACGGGGTAACCAGTGGACGCATGGAGACGTAAACAAAAGGTTAACAAAGAGGACGGATCAGTGTGTTCAGCCTGTCTTAAGAAATGTACTCAGAAACATTAAGGGTTAAAGATGGAACAACAAATAAACATGAAATCAGAAGATATTTATTTATTTATTTATCAAATATTAGATTTTGTCATTGAAGCTGTTTTGACAAAAACGAGTAAATAGATGATATGAAGTTAACTCTCATCTAGTGAGGAAAGAGCCTGAAGACGTTCACATCAGGGAGTACAAAGTATACAATAAATACACAGTTATACATCATATTTATTGTAGGTTTCATGGTAACGTGATATGTTGCAGCAACGTGCTGTCCCGTTCATATTTACACCATCTCAGGCCCTCACAGCCTCTCACACTCACCCACTCACCAGGTGACGTCAGTGAGTCCTTGAGGGTTCAGGGTTTAGGGTTTAGGGGGGACATTGGGATTTGGTCTAAGTCTCTTAAAACATATCTCCTCGTTCCTCTCTCCTCGCATGGTTTCCTCCATGCATCCCTGGTGGGAGGGACTAAGATGCAAGGAAAGGACGCAAGTGAGGGAAACGGGGATGCAGTTAAGAGACTTGAGAAGTACCCCATATTGCATCCCCGTTTCCCTCACTTGCGTCCTTTCCTTGCGTCTTAGTCCCTCCCAGGGATGCATGGAGGAAACCATGCGAGGAGCGAGGAAACGACAATTAAGAGACTTGGGATGTACCCACAGACTCCAGACCTGTAGAGATCCTCAGCAGTGGGTCTGACCTGTAAACGCGTTTGTCTCAATAAAGGTTTTCAAAAAAAAAAAAAACACAACTGCTTCCGAGGTGAGCTCTGATTCTTAAGGTGGTCTGAACACTTCACGAGGAGGAAGACGTTCAGATCATAAAGCTAAAGGGCCGGTGACCGTCACATTTGTTTTTACACGCACATTTGAATAGTCACATCATCCGAACAGGTGACTTCACGTGTAACAGTTGTTGTTGGCGTGTTAAGGTGAGTTTCCGGGTTCCACCGTAAGACGCAGACACGTTCCTCAGGGCTTCAGTCTGTAGTCACAATCGTCTCGAGCGCAGACAGATATACAGACAGACAGACACTTTATTAACATGAATTTATCTGAAGCGAAATCGGAAATAAAAAAGCTGCTGAACGAAGTGAAGCCGAGTGACGTCAGCAGATTGCTGACGTGGATCCGGAGCTCAGGTACACTCACCTGTTCACTGAGTTTATTATTGTTATTATTATTAGTAGTAGTACTGACTGGTCACCCGATAGAGGACTCGCTTGTTTACCCGATAGAAGACTCGCTTGTTCACCCGATAGAGGACTCGCTTGTTTACCCGATAGAGGACTCGCTTGTTCACCCGATAGAGGACATGTTCAATACAACTAAATATTATTATTATAAATAATAATACTTCTTCTTTCTGCAGACGAGTTTGACGACTTTCTGTCCAACAACCAGACGAAGATTCTGCAGAACATCGCTGAAGATCTGAGAGGAAGTCTTCCTCTGGACGCCATGTTGTCCTCTGAGAATACTGCTTATAACAAGGTACTACTACTGTAGTACTGATGATGATAAAGGTGTCAGTGATGTTGATGATGTCATTGATGATGTCACAGATGCAGCAGTGCTCTCGGCCCACGGTCCACGTTGACAGCTTCCTGTATGATGAAGACCAGGTGGACTCTCTGTGTGAGGAGGGAACCATGAGTCGGTCCTACTGTCTCACCTGTGGATCCCACAGAACTGCCCCTCTGGGTCAGAACACATCTTCATCTTCATCATCATCATCCCACACATGAGGTCTGTCACTTTTTCATCATCTTCATCCTCCTCTTCTTCCTCCTCAGACTTCATCTCTCACTCGTTCTCCATCTCAGAGCTTCGGTTCCTGTTTGAGAACGTTCTTCCAGACCTGAACGGTCGGCTGCTGGTGGACGTGGGCTCCAGACTGGGAGCTGTCCTGTACGGGGTCAGTGGAAAGCATGCTAACATGGTAACATGTAGTCATGCTAACATGGTAACATGTAGTCATTCTAACATGGTAACATGGTACCATGCTAACATGCTAATACACTAACGTGGTAACATGATAACATGCTAACACACTGACATGGTAACATGCTAACACGCTAACATGCTAACACACTAACATGCTAATACCCTAACATGGTAACATGCTGACATGCAGACAGACAATGTACTGATTTATGTGTGTGTGTGTCCAGGGTTACGTGTTCAGTTCTTCCTCTCAGCTGATTGGTTTAGAGATCAGTGAGGAGTTTGTTAAACTGCAGAAAAACATCCTGCAGAAATACAAGATGACGGATCGAATACAGGTACACACACACACATATATTAAACACACACACACACACACACATAATAATCAGTAGAACTTTGTTCTCCTTCAGGTTCTCCACACTGACGTCCTCCTGCAGAATGTTCTGCTGCAGAAAGCAGACATTCTCATCATGAACAACGTCTTTGAGTTTTTCATGGAACTCAGTGAACAAGTCAGGTACACACACAAACCAACACACACACACAAACACACACACACACTCTGTTCTTAATTTGATTATGTAGTAAATGTTAATGAGATTTTGAATGAGGTTTTCACTTCTGGTGTGTGTGTGTGTGTGTGTGTGTGTGTGTGTGTGTGTGTGTGTGTGTTCAGAGCGTGGAGGCTCATCATGGAGAACTTCAGGAAGAAAGGTTCTCTGCTGGTCTCTGTTCCCGGTCTACAGGAGAGTCTAAACAGTCTGCAGGTGAAGAACAGAGAGGAAGGTTAAAGTACATGAAGTATACATTAACTTCATGTACCTCCCTCCTCCTCCTCCTTCATGTACACCCTCCTCCTCCAGTCGGTGATGTCATGATAACGTGACAGGTGATGGAGACTGTGGGCGTGTCGGTGTGATGTCAGAAGTCTGGGTCTAGTGAGGCGGTTCAGGACTTGACCACTTTCTGTTTGTGTCCAGCAGGAAACGCTGCAGCCCGGCTGGGTGGAGGAGCTTCCTGTGGACCACAGCGTGTACCTGGACCAGGACTCAGACCCAGAGGCTCTGAGACAGATCCACCTGTACAGGGTCCTCTGATCCTGCTGGTTCTGAACTATGTTCCTCTGTTTCACTTAACAAACATTTCAATAAAGTTTTTTTTAAATATTTTCTTTCATTGACTTTTCTTTGAACCACAAAGTCTGAAATGAAAAGTGAGACCAGAAGAGTTCTGGAGGAATCCTCTGCTCTGATTGGCTGCTGCTGCTATCATTCTTCTCAATGAATGTTTGTCCTTTAGGACCACACGGGACCCTGTCTCTCTGAACCTACTGGTTCTAGACCCGTCCAGACTGGTCCACACTGGTCCACACAGATCAAGTCTGGTCCAGACTGAACAGAACCCTTCATTATGAGTTTGTTCAGTTACAGCATTGAAGAGAAGGACCAGACTAAAGTTTAGTTTGTATCTATCTTAACATGAACCTCCTTCCTGTTTACTTTGAACTCAGTAAACATCACGATATTATATATTACTACAGGGTTCGTACGGTCATGAAAAACCTGGAAAAGTCATGGAATTTTAAAATGGTTATTTCCAGGCCTGGAAAAGTGCTTGAAAAACTTTTGGAAAAGTCATGGAAATGTGTTGTATTCATATTTTCATGTCGTTCATTTACGCTGAGTTGCCAGCCAGCGTTTCTCAGATTGGAGTGAGACGAGGAGAAAATGTGATGTCGTCATCTTCGTAATACAACATCTTTGACGTGTGGAGTCTTGGCCAATCAGTTCAGTCTTCATTTCCCTCCGTTAAAGTTTAAGTTCTGTTATCGTTCATACTTGCTGGGTTAAGTTAACGTCCACTGCATGCGGAACTTTGTCGACTGTTAACGTTCATCATTATCGCGATTTAGAAGGAAAAAACGTAACGTGATGAAACATGAAGCCCCCCGTGTTCCGGTTCAGTTCACACGGTCACTCGTTAACGTTAAACCGGAACACCGGCGCATCTGGTTGCAGGTTGTTGTTTTTAACTCAAAGTAGAATGAGGATGATTTTGTGGTCAAAATAACTTTCATGACCACGAAACATGAGGCCCAGATACTAATGAGGTGATGAGGCCCAGATACTGATGAGGTGATGAGGCCCAGATACTGATGAGGTGATGAGGTCAAAGAGCTTCAGGAAGGGGAGGCTGGTTGTGTCGCGCAGCTTGACGCAGGGCTGAGATGTGAGTGGAGCTGGGCCTGGATAAAGGTGGAGGTCTAAACAGACGTGAGTACAGCTTCACTACACTGATAATGTCAAGATCAGGCTTTGCTTTGTGTGTTCTGTGTCTCTTTGTTTAGCTTCAGCCTAACTCCTTTCACCTGCCGCTAATCAAGCACTCTACCTGTCAGCCACTCCCTCAGCACCAGTCTAACTCAGCCACTCCCTCAGCAC